AAGTAGGTGCTTTAGACCACTGAGCCATCTCACCAGCCCTCCATTTTGTATCTGTGTATTCAGAGAGGTTGGGATAGATATATAGTTACATTCTCTTAATGAATAGAATGATTTGTTTTAATGGTGTTTGTAAATGGGATATCATGTCTGCATCTTGTACAGCAATTAACCACTAGGAACAATGTATGCGATGTGTTAATTATTGAACCTGTCCTACCAATTTGATTTGAAACTATCGCATTGCTATTTATCAATAAAATTAAGGCTAAATAAATAAATAAAATAAAATTCATTGTAGTGGGCCAGCCAGATAGCTCAGCAGACCAAAGCACCTGCTTAGGCAGACGCAGTGGCTGGGGCTCAATTCCCAGGTGCCATGACGGCCCTGCCCCTGGGGCGAGCTGAGACAGTGATTGAGACTGGGCGTAGTGGCACACGCCTGTAATCCCAGTGCTTAGGAGGGTGAGAACATGAGAATTACCATGAGTCTAATCTACCTAGTGAGACCCTACAGACCCTGTACTACATACATTGAAAACAATAATTAAAGAAAATAAAATACACTGTAGCTCAGAGAAAAGAAATTAAGTTAGAAAAGAAAAGAAAAATAAGACCGAACCCCAGAATAGCAACAGTACAAATGAAAAAGGGATGAATTCGAGGCATTTAAAAACAACATCTAGTGTATAGCTTGACAGAATGAAAGCAAGAGGCAGTTTCTAGCATGAAAAATGCAATATGCTGGTTCCCTGACCTGAGATACTGGTAGCCTTCAAGAGGAAGCAATGATGAGTAGTTTAGTTTTAGATATGCTAAACTAAATGGCTAACAACCCATCAAATAGAGATAAGCAAAGAAAGGTTAAGTATACAGGTACAGATTTGATAGAAAAGATAAAAAGATTAAAAAAACATTTTTTTGGTTGGTGCAGATTTTGGTGGTACTAGGGACTGACCCCAGAGCCTCTGCACTGGGTTATGTCTTTAAAACACTTTACATCTTTTAAAAAAGTATTAAGATAGAATCTCTGTAAGCTGCTGTGTGTGCTGGGATTACAGACGTGCCACACCTCGTCACATACCATATCTGAAACCACAAAGAAGACACTTGCTCAAGGGGGCTCAGAAGAGGATGCAGATCCGTGGCTGAAGTCCTGGGGGCATACACATGCGCTCGAGTAGAGGCGCAGAGGGAAGCAAGGGAGAAAAAGAGACCAGAGCAGTGTAGGCTAAAGAAAGCATCCACAAAGAAGCACCATGGGGTCCTGGAAGAGGTGGGCATCAAACTGCAAGGAAGCCAGAAGGTGAGGAAGATGTCCTCAGAGGATGCAAACTGCCCCTTCCAAAAGTGACTGAGAAAATAAGTACCGTTCTAGGGTTTAGACAGACACAGGTTCAAAAGAAAATGTCTGAGTTACTGTGTTAAGATCACATAAATTTTTGTTGTTTTTTGGTACCAGGGATCAAACTCAGGATCTTGGGTTTGCCAGGCGGGCCCTTATGCATCTAAGCTATCTCCCCAGCAAGACTATATAAATTTAAGTAGGTTTATTATCATCAGTTCATCAGGAAAGGTCAGAAATACAGAAGAAAAAAAAAAAAAAAAAAAAAAAAAGAAAGAAAAAGAAAAAGAAAAAAAAGAAGAGCTAATTGATGAATCAAGATGGAGGCTGAAACTGAAGGCGAGGAGTTCCAGGGCTCTGACTGAGAGGTCTATGCAGAGCAGGGGGGCTGCCTCTCCTCTAAGGAAAAGAGGAGAGACATAAGGATGGACAGGGCATAAAGTTGCATGAAGCAGGCAATGTCTACGGCCCTAGATTTTCTACATACAGCAGAAGGCAAGACATGCAGAGATCTGAGGAGGCCGGAGGACGACCTGTCAAGGAGCTACCCAGGAAGAGTGAAGGGCCCAAGAGGGCTGAAAGCAGAACTCAGCAGTCACAGGGAACAGACAGCTCAGCAGGCCAGCCAGGACAGAGGAGAGGGGGCAACACAATGATGGAATGTTGGCCATGCAGGAGTTCAAGTGATAGATGTCAGACCTGGTTAGGAAAGAGGCAAAGAACAAAGAGGAGGGCTAACAAAATAAAGGAAAGTGAAGACCAAAAAAAAAAGGCAGCTCCAACAATGTTAAAGTATAGGTTTACAGTGTTACTATGAATGTGGAATTAAAATGTTGGAACAGGCAGCTCTGCTGCATTTTCCATCTTCTGGAAAATGACTTTTTTTTTTCTTCTTCTTCTTCTTCTTTTTTGTATTTTAGGATAGGGTCTACAGGGTCTCACTGCATAGATCAGACTTGTAGTGATACTATTTACAGCCTCCCAAGAGCTGGGATCACAGGTGTGCACCACCACACCCAGTCTCAACTGCCATCTCAGCTTGCCCTGGGGGCTGGTCCAGCACAGCAGGCCCAGGGATCAAACTCCTGGCCCCTGCCTCTGCGTAGGCAGGTGCTTTAATCTGCTGAGCTATTTGGCTGACTCTAGAAAATGACTTTTTAATGTGGAATTTTCACCCACTCTTCCTGAACCATAAACTCTTTGGAAAAAGGAAAGATGGGATTCATGACCACCACATGAATATTTGGAGAGCACATCTGAGTTACACGAGGCCTAATAATGTACAGTAAATACTGCACACACTTCATGACAACTCGTGTGATCTCATGGGCACCACTCCTCTCCAAGCCTGCAGAGCTGCAAAAGCAAACATCGTCTTACGCTTGCTCCCTCAAGAGAGCAGCTAGGCACATTCAGAAACAAAAGGTCATTTCAGTATGGGAAGATCAATACTTTAGCAAGGTTGCTGAATTAGTAAACACTCAGTTTAATTCAAGTAATTTGCCCATATTTGGGGGGAGTTGGGGAAAGTCAGCAAGTCAGGAGGCAAAATGGTTGCCTCCTCAGTTTAATATGCGTGAGATCCAGGCCTAGCCCAGGCCCGGCAAGTGTGTGGGAGAGCTGCCTCTCCCCTCTACCTCACCTTGTCCCCTCCAGACTCAGCTCAGGCCTGGCATACAGGCCTGGGGTGAAACTCTGCAGCTGGAATCCCTGTAGAGAATGTAGGGGACAGAATCACCCAGCTAGTCCAGGAGCAGAACATCTCGCCAGAGGGGCACCACAGTTTCACTCCCAAGGGCAGCAGCAGGAAGGAGCTACGCACAGCAGCCAGACCCAAGCCAGGCACAGCTGGATAAATCTAAACTTTGTAGATCTGCACCTGAACTTCAGTAGGTGCTAAGGCTATAACTGCAACAAAGATCTACAACAAAGATCAGAAGACAATGCTACACAAAATGACAACGAGAAGGAGCAAAATGCAATCTCGGACCCCAAGCTCACCCATAACAAGTGCAGAGGACACTAACACAGAACAAACTGGGAATCACACAGCTGAAAGCAATAAATCAACAGCTTCTGAAATAAAGAAACAGCTACAGAAAGGTACAGAGGAACTCAGATTGGAAATGAAAAAAGAAATCCCTGAATTAATAACACCTACAATAAAGAATCAAATGCAGAAACATATGGAGGAAACTCAATGCCCACCCAGAACAAGTGCAGAGGATACTAGCTCAGCTCAAATGTATGAATTAATAGCGTCGAAAGTAAATAAGCAAGAGCAGAAAGGTACAGGGGAACTCAGAGCAGAATTCTTTTCTGAAATAAAAAGCTCAGTTTAAAATATGTGGGTTGTACAGGTACAGACTCTGTGATGACCATGACCAATATGTATGTCTAAAGCGCACCAATAAAATCTGATCTTTAAAAATGTAAGTTGCAGACTTAGCCCTTTTGTTTGTAAATCCTAACTTACCTAGATATGGCCATTAATATTCTTAGCCTTTGCTGCTGCATCAGGAGTTTAATCATATTTCAAAATACCATGTTTTCTTTATTTGCTGATTTAACCTAGAAAAAGAAGAAGACAGTTAACAATGTGTTCCTTCTAAAATAGTAATTTTCACCGGAGAGATGCCTCAGCAGCAAAGCATCTGCCTGGGCAGTGCAAGGTCCCGAGTTCTATCCCCCATACGAAAAAGAAAAAATTCAATGAGATTTCTAGTAGCACTCAGTTAACCTAAAGAAATTCAAGTCTAAAACAATTATTAAAAATTTAACATATAAGATCATTTTTTGAAAATTAATGTTCTATATGTTACCATTCTTTTTCAAAACAAAGTAAAAGTGCCGTAGCTTCTAAGTTCTGCAAAGTTTCTGCCTTCTGCAGTTGTAGCTATGACACCAGATAGCTCACTTCTCTATACTGACCTCTTGAACCCTAAAACAAGAGGTTAGTTGAGCCACCTTCAAGATTCCATTCCAGCCCCAGTTTAGCCAGTGGCAGACTCACTTCCCAGTCAGCGTGGGGACTTTCTCTAAGCCTCTCTTACTATTATCCAAAAGAGCTGACTCTTTAAAAACTCCACCCACCCCGTGCTTCCACAAGATCCCCAGAACTAGTGCAGAGAACCCATTTAATCACAAGACTGTAAGACTAAGCACATCCTAGAAGTCACAACATAGTGACAGTACAGAAACAAGTAAATCTAAAGTTAGAATATATTTTTTGGAAACATTTTGGTCAATTTATTCAGTCTTTACAACAAAGAAATAAATCAAACTCATTCAAAAAGGGGCACTAATACAGCATTTACTGAACATCTATGTGGCATCAGGCATTGTTTTAGGAATTAAAAGAAGACTCTCCTCTCATTCTGCATATGAATTATGTACAAATATAACTGCTACCCAAATGGCACTTCAAAAGCAGGTACCCATGCATAGTGAACAATTTATTTTTTGTTTATCAGATATAGTCATGCAAGACATGGTCTTGCTATATAGTTCATGCTGGCCTTCAACTCACTGTGTAGTCCAAGCTGGCCCCAAATCCATGAAAATTCTCCTGCCTCAGCTTCCCAAGTGCTAGGATTACAGGAGTGTGCCACTGTGACCAGCCACAGTGAATAATCTTAACTCTGGATTTTAAAGACCCTATATATTAAAATCCGCAAGCCAGGTGCTTGCTTCTACCCCTTGTGAACTAACACATTCTCTCTTTCTCTTTCTCTTTCTCTTTCTCTTTCTCTTTCTCTCTCTCTCTCTCTCTCTCTCTCTCT